TTTCAGAATTTCATCAGATAGCTTATTTATTAATGCTCATGAGAGTTTTATATAACGTTTCAATAATATACGCACACTCTAACTAATTCATTATACTATTCGTTAGAAAACCTACTGTTCTTTGCACATGAAAACGGAAGAATGTTTTCTTATTATTTCGCTTCCTTGAATTTGTCGAAACATCATCACGTTTCATATCCTTAAGTATACGTAATGATTTATTTTGATATCTTCTCTTGTTCTTTGCCTTTCGAAGGAAGATAAATGAAATTTTGATGATTTTCCATAATAAAATTAGTTTTTCCTCATTTTTTCGCGTACCCTTCCTCAATGATATAAACATTTTAAAAAAGCTATGCATTTTCATAATTCATCACTAAACCTTCACTTTAAAAAGGCAGTATGCCTGGTACAGCAGTGGCAGATCCAGAAACGTTTCTTCAGCGATGGTGAAGTGGTGTGGATAAAACGAAAATGGCTGGAACTACGATTATCCCACTCGCTTCATCGTAAATCTGTTGGTGATACAGTCCCGTAAAACTTGCTGACACATTGTCTTGACAGATACTATACATTCTCTTTATTTCACGCCCGGTAGTTGGTATAATTTTCTGACCGCTAACACGCGTTCCACTTTGATGTTCTATACAAACACCTTAAGAAAAATCTAAAAGGTGAGCATCATGAAGCACATCATTAGCATTGCTTCGATCAGTTCGGTACTTTTTCTCCTTTTATAAGGTTAAAAATTCAGGTTAATTGCATTTTTTCGTAACAAACTATATCTAAAAGTCAATAATTATGCCAACAGAGAGAGACTAGCAGACATACCGACCTATTGATGATACACTCACCGTAAGAAAGACTGAAAACTGAAAATTTCTCAAACATTGATCGCGTTTATACAACACCTAATCTAACAAAACGGGATGGTGCATAAAAATGACAGGGACTCTCATAGTAGTTCGAATGATTTCCTCACTCTCAGAAAATGAGAATGTCCTCTATACTAATGTCGAAAAGTATTGCCGGAGATTTATACAGGAGTCTCAAAGAAGTCCCTCAAGAATTCGTCCAGCATTGTTCAGGTACTATGCCTTTCGGGTCCTTTTCCTATATATATATTTTTCAATGTGTATACAGAGAGAGAGAGAGATGTTGTTAGACTAAGCTTCCGTAGCCAAAATATAATATGGTACAACTCTGTGTACATTTGTCTTCGAAAGCAAAACACATTAGCAAGATTTCATCTTTCAACATAATATAAGAGTTCCGTTTACCGCTGATACGCATGAGGTACATGTGAACAGGTGACATGGCAAGATGCAACACTACTTCTCTGCGTATTTAGTGAGAATTTTTCTTTCTTGTTAGTATACATATGTATTGTTGCCGGAGAGATCGTCATCTTATTACCATTATTTCTAAATAGTTTTAAACACAACAGGCGATGTCGCACACACAGAGAAAAAAACAAACATAGTGTATTAATAGTGTTTATATAAATGCGCAGTGCATGCCAAATTAAACAGCCAACTAATTTAGAAACCTACTACACAAAATGTCACCTCACCACAGATATGTGTTCACACGTCGCATCAAGTTAAGTGGTAATCTAGAAATAAAGAAAAGTGAATAATAAGATCATTTATTATATGCGCATATTTTGTTTTCGGTATAAAGTATGCCACTAATCAAACCAATTAACCTCCAAGAAATTTTATAAAAGGTCGATATTGAGCTGAGCACGTCATCAGATAGCCCACAGTATTTACTATTAGGATCCAATGTTATTTGGCCCTCATCGAAGGATTATGGAGGTTTTACGAAAAGTTTTCTGACAATCTTGAAAAACTAACTTTTCTAAAAAATTTGACTTTCCGATTAAAAAGCAAACCGAAAACTGCTTTTAGTAACGCCAGGAAATAGAGTAAACATTTCTGATCAAAATGAGATATCTCCGAGCTCTGAATGATGTTCTAATCAAGAGTTATGAGAGTTTTGCTGGAAGCCCTAAAACTTGCATCAGATACTGGCGTCACCATATTTCGAAAGCGACTTTCACCTTAACACCATTTCGTAGCTTCAAGATTTCTCGGTAACGAAACATCGCAGAGAGTTCCGGAATGTCTTAAGCTGAAGCTGACACATGTGGCTAGAGGCTAACAGAGCCTGATTTTTGATATTCGGTCTGGATTTGTGATTAGAAAAACATCTTTACCAAAGTCAATGATACTTTTTCGAATTTTGAACTTTTGAGGATGACCATTAATTTGAAAAGAAAAATATCAAACATTCGGCTCTTTTAGGCTCTAGCCACATGGGTTTTTGTCATTTAAGACCAGTCCGAGCTCTCCACAACGTTTCATTACTGAGAAATCTTGGAGCTACGAACAGCCCCAGTTTAGTCACTGTTGTGGCGACATCTCACAAACCATGCACGATGGAGCCAAACAAAAAATTTCGTCACCATACTTTCACAAGATCAGCATCTCCTAAAAGTTTGATCAAGATCAGACTTATAGTTTCAGAGATAGGTTTCTGACGGGGGCCTTAAATCAACCCCATCGTATACCGCGGTGAAATATGATGAAATTTTGAAAAACCTTTTTCACCACACCTTCACATTTTCAGAGACGTTTGAAAACTTCTATTTATAAGGATATGGTCTTTCTGTGCATATTCTGGATGGAGAAAAAGAGAATATATTTTGTTGTTAGATAACGGCGGAAATAGTGATCCTATGGGATGTGATGATTACATCTGGAGAATAAAATGAGATAAATTAAAATACGAATAAAAATGAGATTAAACGCAGAGAAATTATGAACAACGCATGCAAACAGCAAAACTTCGAAAAATTATGAACAACGCATGCGATATTTAATTTGACGAGCTGATGGATGTTAAAGTTTAACAGGCTGAAAAATTATTTTGTACAACCGTTTAAGAGCCACCGCACGTTAGGGATGACTTAAAGGCTTGTCCAGCTAACGGTCTCCTTTTTTCGCTCATTTTCAAAAAATTATAAGTCCCATAGTTGTTGTACGGATGAGTTCAAAAGAGAGTAGAATATGAAAAATGGCCTCTTTAGAAGATCGGTTTTCTCGTCCAATACCTCTGGAAATGTTGGTACTCATATGTCAATGATCAGTACTCATGTCAGGCGAATTTATGACATATTCAACTTCGGTTTTGCTGGTTTATTACAACGGTTCCTAGCGAAATCTGTTGTGATAAACCAGTAAAACTGAAGTTGAATATGCCATAAATTCGAAAGCATACTTTAACAGCCTGACATGAGTACTGATCATTGACACGTGAGCACCAACATTTCCATCGGTATCAGACGAGAAAATCGATCTTCTAAATAGGCCATTTTTCATATTCTAGCCCCTTTTGAACTCATCCGTACAACAACTAAGAGACTTGTACGAAATGAATCCATAGTTTATAGTAGAGATACACTTATACAACAGATATAAGTAATATTAAATGTAATAACATATTCTTCAGGTTAAAAAAATTATGCGAAAGTCTTAGTAAAATTCTTCCTTGTCTTGCATATATGTTCGCACATGTGCGACAGTTATTTTTGCGCATGCTCTTGGCTATAGATAGTACTCGACGTCGACTGCTTATGTTCTAAATGTGGACTCTTGATCTACGTCCTAGACCAAGATATAAACAAAAGAAATTACACTTTTACATAACATAGTTATTATTTCCGTCTGTTTTTAGGGCTTTTATGAAAAATTCCGTAACTTTCGAAGAAAATAAGTTCTGATGAAAAACTTTTGGAAATCTTCCTAAGCATGTCGCTGCTATCTACTGTGCAAGTATGAACAAAAAACTCAGACATTGATTGAGCAACTTATGCGAGAAACGGCTGTCTCTACCATGCAATGGCTCTTCACTTTAAAACTAAAGTTTTGCACAGATTACGTAAAACAAATTCAGTAGTTTTCTAGTAAATACAATAGTGAGCTCTTTGTTGAAAACAAAATCTATTTTTTCGTTATGCAAACTTAGCATTTTTTCGATCTATTGAGAAGGAACGATATAAAAATGTTTCAAGATTTTTCTTTTCTTTTCTTTCATCCTTAGCTTTAAACGTGCTTTAACGATGCTCAATCCCCATTGTACTTATCCATTGGTTCGTATAATCCCCATTTTTGCGTATTTATATGGTCTTGTTGCATGTATCTCCTTTCTCTTTCATTTTACTTCTAATGTGTTTATGTTTTTCGTTTATTAATATAGAGACAATGAACAAAAAAAACGTATAAGTAGATTGTTGTTAATAACACCATTACCATAACGGTAGTTGTAGCACTACGAATAACCAAAAATACCATAAACTTTAAACAACAACATCAACAACCACTTCGAGAAATGAACAACAAATTGTTAGTAACCATAAAGCAAAAAAGGTAAAAGAAGAAAAGAGAAAGAAAAATATTGTTTGTCTAATTCAAAGACATTTCTTCCAACAGTAAACAAATAATCAGTAGAATCAAAATAAAAAATAATACCTCCCTAATTAAGTGAGTCGACAAATACATTCAAATATAGACAAAAGAAACATAAGACAAGAGATATTGACGTTTTTTTGCTAGTAACATACGTCAGTTCTTTTTTTTTATGATCAGGGTGCATTTTGATCCGTTCGACACATCTTCTTGATCGATATTTTTTAATTTTATTTTTTATTTTTTGTTATCAATAATATTCAACTCTCTCAACGAGAGAAAATATGTATTAAAAAGTGAGACAAATAAAGTGTTCTTGATTTGATTGTTATCTTGGATTTGTCTTTATTTGTCTCATAATCTTCTTTCATTGAATACATATTTTCATTTCATTATTGTTGTATTTCAATGTGTAATGTGTCTGGAAGACAACATATATATTTGCAGACAAGGCTGTGATATGCCCTCTGAATTTACTATTATAATTCTTGTGTACCACCATTGAAATCAATATAGTGTTGTTTAACATTAAGTCATTAAACGACTATAATCTGCTATCCAATTTGATTTAGTTATTGAATCCCATACTCGTGATGCATGATTAAGCCAAGCGCGTTGAGATAAACATTGATCAATTAATGGACGATCAATAGATAATAGTTGTTGACGTAATTGTCTGATTGTTGAATCAGGATTTGAAAAACCAATAAAACGCGATTGCCAATGAGAGACCGATGATACACGAAAATCACGTCGTGGAATAAATACAGCATTCACATCATCATACGAATTTAAATATTCTTAAAACATAGTAATATCCTGTTAAAAACAAATATCAAATAAAGTATCAACTTATTTACTTGCTCGTGTTCGATATCCATTTTCTTCTTCACTTTCATTATCCATTTCATCCTCATCATTCTCATCTTCAAATTCGTCTTCATGAAGCTAAAAGATCGATCTCTGATACTGAAAAATTTTCTCAACTAAATTAAGTTACGGAGTAGATATCAAAGCAACAGAACACCAGTCAAATTATATACTGTTTTTTTCAGTTCGATTGATACACTCCATTGACAAAATGTCACTCTTTTACCTTATAATCATCACTTGCCTCGGGATCATCTTCATCCTCATCTTCACTTTCATTTTCTCTATCCTCTGTTATTGTATCATCTTGTCGATCTAAATCATTTCCTGCTAACATCTTGTTCATTTTTGTTGTTGATTTGTTTTTATTTTGAAATAATTTTTTTAAACCACCTTTATCACCACTTCCATTGTCATTCGTACCACCATTCATTTTCATCATACGATTATTATTCATATTTTTCATCATTGATAATAAAATATTTTTTGTACTTGTACGTACTTTCAATTTATTTAAATAATTCAATGATCCACGATAGAAAAATCTTGTTTCACACATTAAATTATTAATTGCTTTTTTAATAATTAAACGTTCATGTGGTTGAATATAATCATCACATTTATTCATAACAAATATTAAATGTGGTGAATGTTGACGAATTAATTCACGTTGATTTGTTTTAATGACAGGTCGTAAAATTTCAGCCAGTTGTAATAGACGATAAATGTACGGATCAGCAAATTGATCTTCAATAATCAACACAACATGACATACAGACATAATAAAACAAGCAATTTCAATCGATTGTAATTCAATCATATTATCAATATACATTGAATTTGGATCGTTTAGTTGTTGCCATAAATGTTGAGAGTCTTGATGCCGTTCTTGTTGATCACGATAATGATGATTGTAATGACGACGATGATGTTGTTGGTGTTGCTCCCGATTTTGTTCATTTTCAATTAAATTTTGAAGCAGACTTGAACTTAATCTAAAAAAAAGTAAATAAATATATCACATTCGATTAGTTGATAGCTAGATAACCAAAAGGTTGAGAGAAAGAATTGAAAATACTTGAAATATTGATTGTTTGTACTAGTGTCAAAATACATCGATAATATAAATAAAAAATTTTACTTACAATGGTTGTGTATCTAATAAAATTGTACGTTCACTTGTCACATATAAATCTATACCTGTTGATACTGAATTTGATGATTTAGATGAAGGAATAGTTGCTGATGATTGAGTAGAAGTTGAAGAGGAAGATGATGTCAATTGTGGTGGCGGCATTGATATTGGAAATTGTGATGATGGTTGAACTGCAAACAATAGACAGAAATAGTTATAATTAAATTTTTATTGAATAAATCTCTATGTAAAGAGTCTTGATGTTTTTTGTACCAGGACTAAAGCTCAAAAGTAATGTGCCAAAATTAGAATTTCATTCTCTTTTAGAATGCGGATTTGAAAATCCTTACGTTTTTTTCAATACATCATTTTGTAGAAAAATATTTTCTCTATAACCGTGAATAGTTTAAATTTTTCTATCATCACAATGAAAGACCAATTCTGACATTCAAAAATTTATCTGGACGAAAAAATACGTATTTTTGCAGTCTATTCGTATTGTACCATTTGTGAAGGACGGAAAAGTAATAAAACATTTTCAAATCTGTATTCTGAAAGAGAATAAAATTCTAATTCTAGCACACTACTTTAATCTTGGTACCAATTTTGGTACAAAAAACATTAAGATTTGTGCAAAGACTTTTTATACAGAGATTAAATTCAGTCATTTTTATATTAAAAAAGAAATCAATGAAAGAGTGAAAGATTCATTTTGTGAAAACATCCGCTGAAAAATTAGATATGATGTAAACAAACAACTATGAACTTAAAAACAGTTTTGTAGATTTAACTTACATATCATCGTACGATCTTCATCAGTAAACTGATTACCTAAGATAAGACGAAAAACTATTAGTCTTGATCATAATTTCATGCAAGTGTTGATAATTTTCATAACTCACCGCCTAATAATGATAGCAATGTTGACTTTCCCACATGCTGTCTGCCAAGTGCACCAATAACAAGATTACCCTCTGTATCATGTAAATATTGTTGAATTTGACCATTTTCACACCAAACGAGCGTATCATCAATTATTTTCATTGAAGATTTCATCATTATTGATGAATTCGTTGTACCAAACAAACGCGCAGAGATTGATTGAATATGTTGCTCAAGTAATGCTGCAGTGGACGAAGAAGTAGATGGTAAGCTGACACTTGATGATTTTGTTAACACTAGTGGTACTGATGGATTTAAAATATTATAACTCGGTAATGATGGTAAACTTCCTTGTGGTGTAACGCTGCCAGTAGATGTTGTTGTTGGCCCTGTAGCAGTAGGCGTTGTCGATGAACTTGGCCGAACTGGTGGCGATGATTGCTTTTGCAGTACAAGATGCGTTAGTTGTTGCTAAACAAATTATGAGAATAGCTATGATAAAATAAAAACTACAGTCAGACACACATTTTAAAATTATTAAATTGAATCTCGCAGTTTTAACTAAAAAGAAGTTCTACAGCCGTCTACTACTTACACGACTTGAGTTATTAACAGCAGATTGAGTTATTTGAATTGATTTTTCTCTTACTAAAACAGGTAACGGTGCTACTGGCGATTTTAAACTGTCTGCAACAACGATCCGTTCATCACTGTTTGTATTCTTCTGCAATAATAATTGTTCTTGCTGTTGTTCTTTTGTGACAACATTTGAAATTTTATTACTAATATTTTCTTTCGATTGGCTATCATTTTTTGCCGTCGGAGTATTGGTGGATTCGCCACGTTTTAATATTTTCAATTTTTGTTGTTTCACTGCACCACCATCGCCTCCCAATGGGCTATTGTCTTCTTTATGTTTATTATTGCCGATAAAACCATTTTCTTTACGTGGACGCATGTCGATTACTTTACGAACATGCTCCGAATGTTGTTTATCTTCCCTAATAGCCAATATGGTGTTAATTATGGCGTATTGTGAACTGTTTGAAGTGAAAAGAATTTCATATAAGCTGATAGAAATATGAATTATATTAAAAAAAAGCACACAAAACAAATTTGTACAACGATTCTGTCACTTTTTATTTATCTAAAAATCTGAAATAGACCAAATGCCGAAGAAATGTTTACGAATTCAATAGAAAAGAAACTTAGTCGTTTCAAGCGTTTTCACAAATAACTCGTTCCAGTGACGTTGATAATCACGCAGGAAGAAACAGCGACGTACAATGAGCAAAAGTAAATGTGGACACTTGGTTTCATTCATCACCGCTACTCTTTTATACCATGGAGATTAAAATAGAGAAATACCACCAGTATTTTTGTAATAAGTAACACACCAGAAGTCGAACGTGCAGTACATATTTTCATCATGGTGAGCCCTAAAAGGTAACTTAAAATATTGAGGTAAACTGTGGATGTACAGTTTGCTCAATATTCTCATTAAAAACGCTGAGAAGCATAAAAGAAAAGACTGAGGTGAACTAAAATGCACTCGATGAGACATTGTAGGTTCTAAAGCCTTTGCCATTGCAGAAAATTTATATTTCACAATAACCTTTTAGTTGAAATTTCATCGTTTATTATTTTCTTTCCGGCACTGAATTTATTTGTCGTCTTAGTGTGCTGGTTACTTGTTTATTTTCCTTCTTCCTTTCTTTGTTTCTTTCATTTTTGTTTCTTGATTGGATCGTTTCACGGAACGACAGAAGTTGTTGTTGTAGGTGTCACTAACATCATACAAACAATGCTAACTTTTGGACGAAAAGGCATGTCGAGAAAAAAATGTTATATAGGAATTGAAATCTAAAGACCGACTGTAGTTATGTCGCTATTTACAATTGCAAACATTGGCTGGTTCATTTGCCATTCACTCGCAGAGAGAAGCTGATAAACGAAACGACATGCCTGAATGGCACTCACTCTATCACTTGACTATACTAGTGTAGCTTGGGAGTTTGCGTGAATTCCTCATGATCATGTAGAATTTAGTGTGGCGTATATTTGTGCATTTAGTTCACTGTTTATAAATAACCGGGTTCGTGCTAAGTTTTAGTATAATATTAGGCAGAAGTAGTTTTGTACCAGCTATAATATTACTGTAATAAATGAATCTTTTGTTGAGAAGAATAAACATGTTCAATTGTTTTGGTTGTAGTTGTATAATGTTTTTTTCTGGAAATGTTAACAGTAGACTGAATCTTATTATAGACTCTCTCCAGTGTTTTTAATAGGAATTTTAAGCAAAGTGGGTTTCCCCAGTTTACCACTGCATTTTCCATGTTTTTCCTGCTAAAAACAAAGTGGAAATCGAATTTTCAAAGTGGAAACCCATTTTGCTCAAGCGAGATCCACTAATCATTAAAAACACTGATTCTCTCTTCTTAACGTAATAGAGAGAACTTGGGTGATAGACTCTTCCTCTTTTTTAGATTTTTCATTAAACAAATTTTGGTCAATAAAACTTAAAAAATATGCGTCCACTATTAGCACTGGTACCTGTAACAACACGTACAATTCAAAGAAATTTTCGTACATCGACTATACGTCATTTACAAAGTGATTTTGATCAAGAACTACTTGTTGGTCAAAATTTGCCATTTAATAGTATGTCAGAAAATTTCATTTAAAAGTATGATGTTTCAATGTTTATCTTTTAGTTCAAAATAAATGGAAATTAGCGACATTGATGATTGGTTATATATCGCTAGCAGTTGCTATTCCACTTTTTTGTCTTCGTTGGCAAATACTTAAAAAGCGTGCCAGTTAATTATCATATATTTTCCAAGATTTTAGTAGATACTAGACTTTATATCCTCAACAAGCATAAACAGTACACTTCATACGATCAAGATATATTTCTTTGATCCGAAACATTCTTTCTTTTTTTTTTTCTTACTTGTCTTGTTTGATTTGAACCCCCTTTTTTTTTATTTTCAATAAAATCACGCCATATATAATTTTGGCATAATAGGTTCTAAATGGATAAAAGACTATTAAAAACTAATGCAATTTTGATTCATTTCTTTACACATTAACTGAATTAAAAAGCCATACTATGCTTTTCATTATTCTTCAGATATCTCAGAGTTATGGCTATTATGACCAATCATTGTTGATTATGTCGAGAAATCATTTATGTAATGGTAATGGGGAAAGAACTACAATAGCGTAGTACAATAATACACATTATCTGAATTAATTGTACATTTTCTTCGAGATATGATCAAAATAAATATATATATACCCATTTAACCAGTACCTATAAAACCAGTTGATAAATTTAACATATAGTTAATGAGGCAGTTGATTATCTCGAATTTTCATAAAAAATTAAAAAGATGATGAAGCATTTCAATTATTTTCTCAATAAGCTCATCTAAACATATGTTAGAATTTGGTAAAATTAATTTAACATGTCTGATATGAAAATGGAATAAATGATGATATTATTCGATAAATCACTTAGTTTTAAAATTGTTTCTGATAAAAACGTAGAAATTCATTTTCTTTATAAACTTTCGCTCTACACTCAGAGCATCATCAGAAAAATATATTTCTTCACAAAATAACCAGAAGAACCGTTATTTTCTTTTAACTCCAAATAGTAGCTCCAATGAGCCAGGATTTTTTGATTTCTCCTTTTCTTTTATTGAAATCATATGCTAAAATATTAATTTCATTAAAGTTAAGAGAGTATATCGTAAATCTATCATACGATTAACAACATTTGATGCGATATCTCTTTTTTCTATCTTTTCCTCCATGTTCATTTATTCTTTCTTCTACTTGTTTACCTGTCTGATCAAAGCATATTTTTTTGATAAATCATTACATTCAATACCATAAATAACTTCAGTTTTTATTTGATCATATTCTTTTAAATTTTTTTGGAAAATACAAATCTGTACTTGAAATGGGATTCGTATTTGTCAAAAGATCAAAAAAATTGAATTAATTAAATCATTAGTACCACCAACCATACGAATTTGTTCACGTAAAAATATTGTTGATAATAAATTAGAATATTTAAAAGAGGTGTTGTCGAACAAATGATTATCCAAGACGAGTTATTGATAAAACGATTAAACAAGTGATATGTAAAGAAAAACAACAACAAACGTCAATTAATAATAATAAAATGAATAGTAAAAAAGAAACAATTTATTTGATATTTAGTTATCTTGGAAATGAATCATCTGTATTTAGCAGAAAAGTGTTAAGATTAATGTACGAAATGAAAATAAAATGTAAAATTATATTTAAACGTCATAAAACAATTGTTGTGCAATTTTTAAAAAATTTAAAAGGATGTGATGAAAGAAAAACTGGAGTTATTTATGGTATTGAATGTAATGATTGTCAAAAGAATATATTTTCAGCAGACAAGTAAATAAGTAAAAGAAAGAATGAATGAACATGGGGGAAAAGATAGAAGAGATATCGCATTAAATATTGTTCATCCTACGATAGATTTATGATATACTCTCTTAACTTTAATGAAATTAACATTTTGACATATGATTTCAATAAAAGAAAAACGAGAAATCAAAGAAATTTTAACTACAATAAAATATTAGGCGTTCAGTGATAGATATCTCGTTTAAAACAGTAAGTTTTTGAAGTGAACAATAAAGGATGACTAACAGTTTATGATTGGTAAGAACAGTAAGGAATGAAATAATTTATTAGTCATGTTTATTTGTTGTTCAATGGTAATTGTTTTTTTCTGCGTTATTTCCTTTTAGCTTCAAATAGTAGCTCCAATAAGAGGTGATCTGCGTCAGTTCGCATTGATCCTGGCTCATTGGAGCTACTCTTTGAAGTTAAAAGGAAACAATGGTTCTTCTGGTTATTTTGTGAAGAAATATATTTGTCTGATGATGCTCTGAGTGTAGAGCGAAAGTTTACAAAGAAAATGAATTTCTTCTACGTTTTTATTTTTGTCTATCGTTTTATTGGATGAAGATATTTGATGTATAAGATTTAGTTGCATATCTGTGAAATAAGATAAGTGTATGCATTAGCACAATTTTTTTTAATCGACAATTGATAATTTAGATATGTTTGGAAATTTATTTCTAATATATTTTTTGCTTCGCCAAAGGTTCAGTTTCAGATACACTACAACTGGCGTCGACATTCAATGAGCTTAAATTATGCGAAAGCATTACACAATTTTCAAACTCAAAAATATGGTGATCTCAATTTTTACACCGATGATATTATTGAAGTAAGTGATAGAATAAATTATATTTGAATTTAATTTGAAATATGATTATATTTAGATTGTGGAAAAAGTCGATTCGAATTGGTTAAGAGGAAAATTAAATGGTACAATTGGTCTTGTACCAATTACTTTTATACAAATAATTACTTTACCAAATATTAGTGGAAATGAACAATTCTTTATAGCTATTTCTGATTATTCTTCGTCTCATGTTGGCGATTTACAGTTTAAAACAGGTAAATATTAAATGTTATACAACAATTTCATAGAAACAATCATGTCTCTTTTTTCAATAGGAGATATTCTTGTTGCAACAGAACAAATTTCCAATGATTGGTTACGTGGTTATTCAATCAAAGAACCGAATCGAAACGGAATTTTTCCAATTACATTTGTAACATTAAAAAATGGAAATATAAATTCGATAAATGATAATAATAATATTGCAATTACATCGATTCAACCACCATTATTAGGTGAAGTTATACAGAATTATTCAAGTAATTCTAATAATACTGATTCAATTCATAAACCAAATATTGATCTAACGTATGGTGATTGGGTAGTTATCACAAAACGATCGAGTGCTGGATATTTTTTTGGTGAATGTGGTGTAAAAATAGGATGGTTTCCAGAAATTTATATTAAATTAGAAAAATCTACACGTGCTCCATCATTAAGTCGAACATGGCGTTCATTATCTGAGAATGAATCTCCATTTATTGAATCTAGTCAAAATAATTATACTTTATCTTCGAATATAAATGAATCAATCAGTGATAATTCATATTATCAAAACACAATCAAAAGAGATAACAGTGAACTTGTACCAGTGACAAATAACATCGAAATTATTAATAACCAAAGTTTAATATTAAAACCGTTACCGACTATCTCATCTACTCCACCACCGATAATTGAAAAAAAAGATTTCAAATTTGTACGTGTAAAATGTGATATTCAACCGTCTGTTAAAGAAGAATTAGGCTGTTTTGAAGATGAGGTACTTGCTGTTATGGATGAAATTGATCATGAATGGTTAATGGTAAAAAATGCATTTGGAAGTGTTGGACGTATTAAACGCGAATTAACTGAAATTGTTGAGTATGATATTGATGAGGAGATTGATCATGAAGACGAAAGTTTTATGTTCGTTCCAGATGTACGATATCATTTAAAACCACAGATTAATAAAGATATAAAAAATTACAACAAACATCATAAACCTAATCCAACAAATTTATCTACAATTAATGAAATAGATCGTTTAGTTCAAGATGAATTTGTTAAACTTAAAAGTGATAATAATCAACAATTATTAACAACAGAATCAAATCAAAAATCATCAGGTACGTCAAATAATTTTGTATAAATCGTTACTATCAAATGAAAATATAGAGTCCGTTGTTCTTAAATTGATTGTAGTATTTAGTTTGACAACAAATTATTCATTTTGACAATTAGTTGTCCTTTATTTTTACTTTATCTTTCATTAGTTCTTTAAAATCACGTACAATACTGTTTGTACAAGTATTGAAATTGGAGGGACAAATTCTAAAATATTCATTTTCTTTCTTTTTTTTGTTTTGTTATATTACAATGTATGCATACAAAACAAATCGTTTAAGCATACACACGCACATTGGTTCAAATTATTCAGATCAAATAACACGTACAGTTTTTACTTTTGACAGAAAAAGAAAACTTACAACGTACAGTGTTCAAGTGTTATAGCTTTGTTCAAATTTTGGAACAATGCCCTTCACAAATCAATAAAAAGAAAAATGAATTCTTCATTTCACTATTTCTTTTCTCTTTCTGATGTTTTTGTATCAACCTTTTTTTCATAAAATATACTCAAAAGTTTAATCTTAATTCATCCTATATACTGACTTCTTATTGATCTTATAAACTAATTAGAATCTATGAAGAGGAGATTATACACAAATAAGATAAGTTAACGTTTTCTCAAGTTATGTTAGATTCTTCCATCCAATTGTGGTCTCACTCACTTCAAGATGATGTGAATATTCGACAAGAATTTTCAATTTTTATTCATTGGTCATTGGTAGAATTGTTCATTTGATTAACGCCCCCTACCCGTGTCAGAAATCAGACGTTTTTCTAAAAAATCAAAATTGCGATAAACATATTTTCAGATAACCTAGTTTGTCTTCTTTCAGACTTTGTATTAAAATCGACTTCATCGAAAGTTTTTCAAAAAACCTTGAAAAAACCGGCTTAAAACATTTATTATTTTCTCCCGTTAAAATACTTTTAAAATTTCGTTTTAATGCACATATCGCTTCCGCAACGATTTCTCTTCAAAATGAGACGTTTGCGAGCTCTCCAAGATGCTTTAGCCAAAAGTGATTAGAGTTTTACGAAAAGCAGCAAATGCATTTAGTATATTTTTCCTTCTATTTTCTAAATAGACTTTTGCACTGAGGACACTCGCCACTTCCCAGAATTTTTCGTTACAGTTCGTCGTAGGTAGAGACTTAATTTTTTTTGATTTGTAGAAGATAGTTATATTTAAAGATTGACAGAGCCCGATCTTGGATTTGCCTTTAGATTTTTAATAAAACAGATTTTTCTGGGAAACTCCACAGGGATTTTTCGAGTTTTGAGAAAAAACGTTACCAAAAATCAGTTGAAGGAAAAACCAAAAAGCCGGCTCTATTAGGCTCTGACTGTATGTGTTCGACAAAGAATAACGCAAACTCGAGCTCTCTAGCACTTATCTAGACCCAAATTTTTGGGAAGTGCCGAAATCCCTGTTTCGATTCTTGGAGATCCTATAAGTTCGCAAACCTTGCACCTAGAGACATACAATTTTATTTATAAACATTGCATGTTAAGCCTAACAATTGCTGAAATTTTCGTTAAGATCGAATATATGGTTCCCGAAGTATATTTCTGACATGCGGAGGAGGGCGCTTAAATCAACTTTGAAATTGTCTGTCTTCCCTTGTGCATATTTTGAATTTATCGTACATAGACAAGAAACATTCTACAAAATATGTATATATATATTTTTTTGTCGCATATTTCCCATATGTATGTGTAGAATAGTCATTAATATCTTATGAATACATACTGAACAATATACTGTTCTTTTGCAATTGAACACGACTGTATTTCTTTCTTTTTTTTTCTATCGTTTTGTATGTTTGTGCAAAAAGTCGTGCTATGAACGGTGATGGTTGGATGAGTTGAGTTAGTTATGTTTGTATATACATACAGTACTATATCTCAAAAATTCATACGTGTATATTTAGTATTCGTGATGATGAAAGTCTTCGAAGGAGTGTCAATCTTACTTTTTCCTCAACTCACTGTTTTTATGCTAATAATTAATGTTTATTAAACCAATTTGCTGAGAGATTATAAGACTTACTACTAACAAAAAAAAGTACTGTAAGTGTGTAAGACATCTTGTGAGTATAGGAGATAATTTGACCTGTAAGTAGTAAGAGATTGAATTTTCACTAGCAATATTTCTGTACCATAAGATAAAATTTGAATTTTATGATAATACTAAATGAGAAAAAGTATATGGTTTTTTAACTGCAAGAATTTTGCCACTATTTTCGTTTTTAAAAAGTAATTGATGTCTGCTTGACACTGCAGATGTCGCCTTTTGATAGTATTCTTTTTTGTTTTTACATTCGAGGGACTACGTAAACCGAGCTCATATTATTTTATGTGCAATTATGATAAACATCACGTGTTATTGTTGTTGTTGTTTTTGTTAATGCAGACTCAATTATAATCATTCAATTATTATATGTTAAGATGAATATAGACGTGTTTTTTCTTTCCATCACCGATATCTGAACTTTTGTATGATAAATTTGACAGCATTGAACAATAATTTTATCTTTTGTTACTCACATAATATTATTGTCTATTTAACCTAAAGAAATATATACAATTTTCTTCTTCCTCTTTATACGTACGAAAAAAAAGCGAAAAAAAAAAAGATTTAATATCAAATATACGCTTTTAACGATGGTAATTATACGACACTCGACATAAAAATCAATATGGATAATGCATACTGTATTCAAAATTGTTCACAACTAAATTTACAACAACGACAACAACTACATTACTATGATCGATCGTTATCTATTACTGTCAATGACAATTATCGTTTTCGTCAACCTTTTTATAAACGGTTGCTTCAAAACTGCTTTTGTTGCAAAGCATCCTGCTTAACTTTTCTAATTCCAAAACGATTGAAATGTAAGTAATGTAACAAGACTATAATAAATCTACTAATTCTAATCAGCATAAGATTTTAAACTAAATGATTAATGACCGACGATATTCAATCATTATTGTATTCAAACAGTTGAGTTTATTATTGTAAAAAGTGATTGTTCCTTTAATATAAAAGTCATTTATAGTCAGTAGCATACCTAAAAATTTGTCCAAGGGGTAAAGCCAAGTTTCTTCATTCATCAAACAAATTGTTTTTTTTTTCATGTATTTTTTCACACTTTTTTTCGCAAACGAACAGATGTCGTTGATAGTTGATATTATATTTCAGTCTTTCTACTGTAAGATACGTTCGTCCTGGCTACACCACTACAACTACTGTCTCATTTTCTTTCTAGTCCGTTAACCCCCTATGTACTACTGCTATAGATAACTTACTATGCATAAGATTTACTATGTACTACTGCTATGCATAAGTTATTTTACAATTCTAAACACTTTTATCATGTCGATCAAAAGCTTTAAGAACTTCTCTTTAATTGAATATTTTACCAATAAAAATGGAAAAAAAATGAGTTCTTGCAACTTGTTGTATTTTTATGAATACTAACTACTTCGTTTTTTCTTTTTTTATTGGTTTATGTTTTTAAAATTACCTAACAATGAGTTTTGTTTTGATAAATACATACATATATATTTCATGAACGACATGATAATAGTCTATCGATACTTGGGTCATTTCGTTTTTCTTTTTCTTTTTTTATTTGTTATGTTCGTAAAGTGTAAGTATATAGGCGATAAATACTTTAGATTTCTGGTCAAATTATTGAAAGAGAATAATATCGACCCATCTTTGATAACACAAAAAAAAAGAATCTATTATGTAAGAAGTAAAAGTCAACTTTGCGTGTCAAGAGACAAGAGCATAGTGAGAGACTTTTCATACATAGTAATGTGAATAGCGTTGAAAAATTACTATTGTTTTTCATGCCTGATCATCTCTATTAACGGGTGTGCCATAATAAACTGGACTAAATGTTACTGCATTTTTTTCGTATTTCCCCTTCAAATTAGAAGTTTCTTTACATACCAAAAGATAGAGAATTTCAAGCTCTACAAAACCTACTATTTGAATCTCTGAGAGCATTTTTCTTGTTTGAGCACCATTCAAAATATTGAAGAGTGCTGAGTTGTCGAACTGCGACACACTGAAAATAGAAAAACATTTGCCTTGATTCAAAAATAGATTCCATAAGATTTTTGAAAGCATCAGAAGATTCACCGGAAAATTCTGCATCGTCTCACATATTTTTTCGAAATTTTGCAGCTAAATCTTCTAGGAAAATTTTTCTGTACAAAAAGCTGATAAACCTAAAAAAACCTAACTTTTGAACCTATTTTTCACAGAATTTAGTTTTTGAACTATAAAAGCAGTAAAACGTTCTGAATCCAGGGTTTTAGTCTTATTATCTTACATAGAATTAAATTCTGCGCCTTTTGATATATAAACAAAGTTTCTCAATTGAAACCATTAATTAAAAAAATTAATTTAATTTGAAAAAATTGAAAAGGCGGTTGAGAACTAATTATAAGATCAGCTGACGTAGTGGAAATATTGTATAAGCTTGTAAATGAGTGAGATCGATAGAGCGCAAAATTTTCTATCTTTCTACCTAGAAAAATTAATTATTGAACCTCAGACAATGTGCTAAAAATCTAAAAAAATGAGGCGACAAAAGTACGTCGCAGTTCGACAACTCAGCACTCTTCAATATTTTGAATGGTGCTCAAACAAGAAAAATGCTCTCAGAGATTCAAATAGTAGGTTTTGTAGAGCTTGAAATTCTCTATCTTTTGGTATGTAAAGAAACTTCTAATTCGAAGAGGAAGTACGAAAAAAATGCAGTAACATTTAGTCCAGTTTATTATGGCACACCCGTTAAAGATATCTTGTGTATTTTAAAAAGAACGATATTACGCATATCTCAAGGATTTTCTACCAGTAATGGTCCGTCTATTACTGTATTACACTTTTGCTACTGTCGAAACTTGTTATCAAATCTTTAATTCACTACCCATGATTTTTAGACAACATGATTTGACGATTATATTGTTCGTCGAGTACTTTAAGAGCACCATGTTCGCATCTCGACACCGTCAAGTCATGTAATAACCATGTACGAGGTGCTCATACATGTCTAGAATTATCTATTTGATAGCGTACTTCTATGTTGTAATGTACAACATAGTTTCTTTGACTTATTAGAAAGCTAGTACGTGATTAGTGCACGGGTATCTCAATATCAGACTAGTCTTACTGGAATTACTGGAATTTGATGACTAGAAAGCAATAAGAAGATGTCGTAAAACTCACTAACAAGTCGAATCTGTCAGCATCCTACGTCGGTAGACACATTTCTCTTATTATAGTGATTTGATCTATCTGATCCGTTGGAGTATGGGTTTTTCATATGCAGAAGTAACAATAATGGTAACATAGTATTTAATAAATAAATCGTCACCCGTTTCCATTAATTCTAACGAAGAATTCGAAACAAATTCCATCAATAGAAATTTTGTTTGTTTCGTTTCGATTATGTAGCGGATTGTTTCTTTTTAATGTTGTTGAACATGTAACTATCAGTTGTTTAACAAAAGTAATACCATAACTAGTAATTACACATTTTTATACTAAACGGAAAAATATTCAGGTTATGTCTGAACATATGATCTTTTTCTCTCATAAACAGAACAAAATCTCTTTTTCCCTCTTGACATAACTCAAAATATACACCTCTTGAATTGTCGACTGATTAACTATGACCCATGATTTTATTTGTCTGTATCTGTGTGTGTATGTGTGAATGTCTCTAATACTAGGAGGATTCTTCGCATTGCTTTCATTCCATCGTTCTCTTTATTCTATTCTGTTAAGAGGAAGAACATACTGAACACACAACAGCCTACGTTCATCTCTCTCTCTATCTTACCCTATCAAGTTTTTACTGATAAGAGAAAGAGAGGTCTTGTATACTCAACATATCATCATATACAAATATATAACAGCACAAAAAAATAATTTTTTCTCTCTTCTATTCATAACGTATGTTCATCATTGACAACACCTGTGCAATATATAAAAGAAAATGTACAATGCACAAACATACGCATACAAAAAAAAAAGAAAGTAGGAGGAAATAGTACTGTGTCCCGGTTCTTTGATATACTTACTCTATGGAAGTATTCCAATTACATACTTTTTTCCTTTATCTACATGGGATGGCATTCATTTTTTTTCCTCTGGATATCCCGTTAGAATGGGATTGAACACATTTTTTCTTTTGTCTACCATTTATTTATCTAAAAGGTAGATAATCGAATATGAGCATCGATTTTTGTCATTGTTGTCGAAATCCAATACGTTTCATTGGTTGGACTAATGGTAAGAAAAACAGTTTTTTAAAAAAAATCATATACGAAATCTTGATGGAATGTTCTCAGAGTAGATCATGAAAAATAGTTGTAAGAATGTTTGTACAACTATCATTTTCAAAAATTGTTTCTTTCTCTTGTCATTTTTATAAGTTCTCTAGGGCATTCTTCTAATTTATTATTTTAATTAAAAGAAATTTCATCTAAGATATATGTTCAATGGTACATTGAGCATAAGATTTCTTTTCTTCTGTAGCTAACTATTCGATGTCTTGATAGAATGAATGTTTGATCGTAGAGTTTAGATTTTGAAAAAAATAGAAGAGAAAAAAGTTTTTTTGTTTTGATAAAAGAAGAAAATTTCAAAATGTTTTCTATTTTATGTATAAATTGATTTTTATTCGATACTCATTTAACCAATCTAGAAATATTCATGACTCTGTGACAGATAAATGAGATTTTATTAGATTGAAAATAGAACTCATTACTTTTTCATCGATAAATTATTTCATTCGTTTGAATAAAACTGTACAAAAACGATAAAATCTTATCAATAAAAGAATTTAATCTTCACTTTCGGTTCTTTTTATTTTAAACTTGACTTTTATGCGACATGTCTTCAATTTGTCTATAATAACTCATATCCTTATGTTAATCCTTTTTGACTTCACTCCATTACTGTCTATCTAGAAAATAAATTATTTTTATATTTTAAAGTGACTATTCTAACGAGAATGATTTGTAAGCAAATATTTAAATTTTTGATTGTTTTCTAATTATCTTTATTTTTTAGCTCATTTTTTATCACCATCTATTACAACCAATATCAATCCATCATCTGTTTATCAACAAAATCCACCAAGTATCATATCAAATCCATCTAATTATGCATATTCACAACAATATCCTTGCTCCTTATGGTCATCATCATTAGCCAATGAAACACAACAATCATCAATTGAAACATGTTATAATAATAATAATAATAATAATTTTCAACTAGCTGATACTTTATCAACAAATTCATTATATTCATCTAATCCATGGCATTTAACACCTCGATTACCGTGGCCATCAGTACCTACAAACATTCCTCTATCAAGTTTCAATAATAATATATTATTTACTCCAAAAAAAACTGAATTAACCGTTTGTAATAGTGGCGGTGATCAAAGTCTATCATCATCATCGTCATTATCATTTAATGATGATATATCATTTGATAATAGTCATATTCCACCACCGATTAAACCTCGTTCAACAATACGTACATTTACATCATCCGATAATCAAGAACAATTTATTCGACCTTCACTAAAACCTCCTCCACCACCACCAGTAATAGTATCATCTACATCTAAAGATATCTTTCCTACAAGATTAGCTCCACGTCCACCTGTTCGACCACCTTCACACGATATTTTATTACATAAAGCAAAAGTAGACAATGAACAGCAACAACAGGTTTGCATATGAATAGTCTTTTTTCTTTTTTCAAATATCTAAGTGGACTTATTAAAACCAAGTCATTGAAACAGTTTGAATAGTCCATGAGGTAGGTCAAGTTTTTTTTTCTTCTTGTATATTGCAATCTGAAACAGTTATATAATAGACAATTTGTTCAATATAGTTAACCTTGTATTAATTGTGTTAAATATGTATAGTTTAACCTCTCTATTGGTCATTCAACAATGAAAAAAAGAAACTTTTTCTCTTTTTTATAAAATATGCAGTATGACATATTGTGTAATATACACTATACTGACCAAGTGTAAAAAAAAAATGGAAAGAAACAGAATACAATATGTTCATTCATTCACTGATTCATTCATTATTGTGTATTTGTAAAGGAATTAGTGAAGGACGATTGTTCAATCAACAGGTCACGAATAGTTCAATTATGAATTCTTTTTTTTTTGTTTAGGTATCTTATCATATCCACAATCCCTTTGATAATATTAGCATTAAATATAGTGATACAAGTGGACGAACATCTCGTGACAGTTTTGATTTTGATACATCATCAACACGAACAGATCTATTTGATTTAGAAATTCAAAATTTACAAAGTATATTTATTAAAGTACAATCAATATTCATTTACCATTTTTGTATTATTTTAGATCAATTATTAAATAGTTATGATGAAAATAGAAGTATTCCAGAACGAGACGATAATTTATCATCGCCTGCGTAAGAATAATATTCATTTTTTTCAGAAATTTTATATTTTTAAATAGAATTTAATTTTTAGTATTATTCATCAAGAACTTCAACAACGTCGTCGAATACAACGTCAAAATGTCATTAGTGAACTTATAACAACCGAACGAGAATATGTTCGTGAATTAAGTTTGGTTGTTGATACATTTTTAACTCAAACAAATTCGACATACGTAAATTAAAGTTATTCAAAAGATTTTTAATTATTTTTTTTTTTATGAATATTTTCTTTCTTAGCCCGATGGTGTAAATCAAGATCTTATATTTGGAAATATTAAAGATATATGTCAGTTATCAAAACGTTTATTAAACGCTTTGGAATGTGAAGTTGGTACAATATCTACATCGTCGGATGATGATGATCATTGTTGTATTGGACGATGTATTCAACAATTTATACCAGATTTAAAAACGTTATACGCTGAATATTGTCGAAGTCATGAACGAATGCAAATATATTTAAGAAAAGTATGTATTCTATTCATCAAACTCTTTTAGGAGATTCAATTATTTTCACTAAGAAACATATCGTGAATGACTAAATTATCTATTCTAATTTTTATTTATTATTTCATAGAGGTATATAGCTAATGAACTTTAAATTTTGCTTTAATAATTTTCAAATTATATAATAAATGTGATAAACGTGTAGAATTCAAAAATATAATTTAGAATACGTATTTATCAGAAAATTTTTAAACATATGTTTTTTAATCTACAATATAATATGTCTTTCAGTTCTGAATAATCTTTTACTTGAATCTAACATCAAATCTATCAGAAAACAGCGCCTATTAACCCAATTGAGAACTGATTGAACATAAATATAAATATCTTTTTTTCTAAGAATTTTATAGGGATACGTTCAATCGACATTTTCTTACAAATATGTCCTTTGTCATCATACCTTAGGATATTGATAACGGTCACCATCTCTCTATTTTTATTCAAAAACGTTCGACTTTTGTTTTACAATCTTGTGTATATGAAATAATTCTTATTCTCTTTAGATATTTATCTCACAGATTGTAAGTATACATAAAATTTTCTCAAATTCTTCAAATTAACTCCTTCCAGTAAATAAGAGTTCATTCATCGGGAAAAAATATATCATATGACACCATGTATTGCCTTTATTTCACCTTTTCGTTACCAATGTGACATACAGTAACAGACAAATAACTAGTTACCATATGACACTTAATTCAACCATTTCTGCTTGTAAATGATGACGAATGAAGAAAGCTTTCTCTTACATGCCTGAGATTCGATGTTCAAATTGATTTGCTAACAGGCTACTTTCATTTCTGTTTTGAAATGTATTAAATAAATATTCTTCGAACATAAATCAAGAATAATTCGATTTTTTGTAGAGAAGAGTTTTATTGAACAGTCTAAATAGATCACGCTTTTTCTCTTCTTCTATATAAGTAAAAATCTCATGTTTCTTTCGTCTGTTTTTAGTTTTTGTCTTTTTATTTTCTCTTGAACTAACGGAATAAATTGAAATAAATTCAAATATCGTATTCATAGTATATTAAAGAATGATCTACACTCTACTCTTACACAAAAATTTTCCATAATTTTTGGACAATTTTAGCCAAACAACTTATCATAGTTTTAAATTATAAGAAAAAATAAATAATTGAATGAAAAATCCTCATTCAATAGAAATTTTGATTTATTTAAAAATTAAATACTTCATAATTATATATTATTGATGACTTTGTTGTTGTTTTTTTCTATTCAAGCATTCATCAGACGAGAAAATTCATCAATTTTTACAAAATGGCTTACAATTGTTACGATTACACACGACCGTTTTTGATTTACCAGCTTTGTTATTGAAACCGGTGCAACGAATTGTTCGTTATCCCTTAATATTAAATGAACTATTAAAGGTATAAATAATTTTTCATTTTTATTCTCTCTGAGTCATATTTTATACGTCGTATCAGTTAGATATTTGATACCATCTCCATTTTGAAATTCTTTAATTTTAACAATTGAAATGATCTGATAAAAATTGTTGACGTTTATCTTTTTTTGAAAGATCGATTTACATTCTAAAATTGTGAATATATGTTTAATTTTATTTTAAAGAATACGGACGTTGATCATGTTGATTATTCATCATTAAAAGAGGCCATCTCTAATTTGATCAGTGTGGCAAATTTTATTAATGAATATAAACGTCGAAAAGAGATAGGTATGTTGTTACATTTGACACTGTTATTTCCTTCTTCTTTTTTTTTTATTAAAACAAAAAAGAGAAAGAATGTGGTGTCTCTTATTCAAGTACAAACATATTTTATATATATTTTTTTTTCGATACTTTTAAATTTCGTTTTCATAATAACCTATAGGATATAACTATTACGTTCATCTTGTATAAATATAACTTGGCGAGTCTTATATTTGTATAATAAATGACCTTCTAATCACATACTCATACTTGAAGATTCAAAATTTTAAAAAAAACTACGTTTTTTTTTTCTCCACATAATCTTCTTGCCTTGCTTATACACTTATCATTATGTATACATTGTACAGTCTCTCTCTCATTTTCTTTTTTTTTATTCTATTATTCTTTGATATGTCTTGTATTTCATTGGGAACAAATGGCCTTCATTTTCTTCTTTTTCTTTTATTCTGGAGAGAAACCAAGCATAATTTTGTTCATAACTTTATAGTAAAATAAAATTATGTCAATCACTACCACCCCATTAAATTTGATATTAGTAAATAGTAGATCTAATGATCATTTAAATGATGATGATGATGATATAGAACCGTATCATATCAGTACATTTCGTGTCATAAGATCAAGTTCTGTACCACCAACACCACCATCGATTAATGAAATTCGTTCAGTGAGAAAAAATGATCATCGTCATTCAGTAATGATTTATAATCATCCACAACATCATCATGAAAATTATCTTCTAGTGTCAAAATATCGTCGGGAAAAAGATGAAGCATTAACGAATAAATTATACAAATTAAATATGCATACAATGAGAAAAAAATCGGCAAGAATTAGTATGCGATTATCAAGTGCATTTGGATTAACATCACATGTGAGTATTGAAATAACTACTATATAAATAGAAAGATTTTGAACAATCAATAGATTTGATTCAAAGCAATGTGAAGTTGTTAGTAAAATAAAGATTCTTTTTTTTTTGTTTTAGACGATTGATGAACGTTTTAATTATGAAGAAGCTCGTTTTCGTGCGATTGATAAATTTATTCGTATATTCGTACGTAATGCGTATACGTGTATGGAATGTTTAAAGGTAACACAAAAAAAAAATGACGTTTTATTGTAGAATTTCTCATCTATCACTGAAAGTTTGTACTCAAAAAGCGACGGATTGAGGATAAGAACAATGTTTTAACCCATTACTCATATCTTCTGATAAGATTTTTAAAAATTAGAAAAGTTCATGTATACAAGAATATGAAAATTAATTGTTGAATTTAAGTTAAATTATTTGTGAAAAAATAGTGACATTTTTAAGTCTATTTAAAACTAGCTACTCTTTCAAGTTTTCAACAACTAGTTCTAGTGTTAAATGTTTATAATTCAGGATGCATTTGTTGCTCAAGTGGATGTTGCTGAAGATTTTGAAGAATTATTAAATGATAAAGTACCAGATTTAGTTCAACAGTTTGTTCGTACAAAACGTTCATTATTAGAAAATGCCTTTACAGAATTTGTAAGTGACGACAAGTTTTATATAAATGATCACTGAGCTCTAAAATTTTCAATGTATTTTAGTGCACAAATGTGGAAATATGTGTAGCAAATCCATTGAATACACTGATTAAATTATTTGTTTTACCAACGAGTTTAATTTCAAAAAGACATGATAAATTACTTGATTATGATAGTGCACAATCAGCATACGAAAAATTGAAAGATCAACAATCAAGACAGGTAATAAGTATTAAATGTTGTTTAAATGTTCGTAATCTTCTACTAACAATGTTTTTTAGGCAAAACAAGTGCTAGATTTGGCTAAAAAGACCTATGAAGCATTGAATTGTCAGTTATTAGAAGAACTACCGATATTATACGAACATTCTAGTCATATTGTATGGATATGTTTAAAGGCATTTATTTGTGGACATTTACGATTAATGCAACATATGCGTGCTGGCATCAATATTATATTAACACAGGTATAAATCTACACTATGAATAATACATTTATACACATGCTTATGCTCTATTTTTCTAGACCACATCTCCGGCAGCATTGTTATCATCATCGGCAACTTCCGCACAATTAAGTTGGTTACAAATTGTTGAACGATTTACAACGAAAAGTAATGAAGCAGCTGAGATGCTGTTTCATTTAACAAGTACAGCAAAAAATTTTTCGGAAAAATTAAAAAGTTTGTCTTCATCTCGTGCTAACAGTATTGTAATTAACGGACCAATGTCACCAGCATCAGGCAATGTCTACGATAGTGATAAGGTAATTATTTTTGTTCTTCACTCTTTTTGTTTTTTGCTCGTTTCATAATAAAAAATAATATTTCCTTTTTTCTGTTAGGAAATACCAGTTCAAAACGATGAAACAAGACGTCTAGTTCGAAATCGTTATTTAGAACGTGATTTGTATACGGTAATACGAAATTATGTTGCTTCTCGTACAAATTCAATGGAATTAAGTGTACATAGTGGGGATCTTGTGGGTGTAATTAAACAAAATGATTCAGATCCACAAACTTGGTTTGTTGATAATGGATGTGAGTAAATATCCGAATATTTGTTATGTTTATTACTTTTGTTCATTATTTAGTTGCACGTGGATTTTTACCAAAGAATCTTCTTATCTCAATAACATCATCTGGAAGTTCTGGTTTAGTATGTCGTACTCCGCCAACGCCTTTACGTAACGATGTTATTTCATCTCCTTCGGTGTCATTACCATCGGCTAATCAATCATTAAAAAATCGTTTTATAAATCCAGCGTTTAGTTTCGATCAAACATCGTCATCAGATAATACCAATAGAAAATTAATACGATCTGATACAGAACCGACACGAAGTTTAATTAATACAACGTTTGACTCTCTACAATCTTCACAACGAGAAAGTATCTATTTAAATGAGCCAAACGTCAGTGATCAACTATCAACAATCTCTCATGAACAACATCAATATGCATCAATTGATTTTGAAGATTCTTTTGAGTCACCACCACAAACATTAAACCAACAGAATCAATCGAAATCAAATCAAAATCAAAATGATCATACACAAGTAAGTGACAACAACTAAATTTTTCAGATTCAAGTAAACTGACGTTTATCAGAAATTTATTCATTAATGTTGATGACGACTTTATAGCTAATTGAGTGTAAACACTTTACCATTGACAGTTTCAGACATACGTTTTCTCTACATTTTTCATGGATTATGAATAATGTATAATACTTTTCTTCCTTCTTTTATTATATCAGTATAGCAACAAAAATTATAAATAACTCGTATTGATTAGTAAGATATCTAACAGATTTCGTCTCTGTAAAAAACGTCTGATTATCTCATCGAACTTCATCTTTTACCATTGAAATGTTTAGTAGAATGTACGAAAATATCGTTTAAAAAAAGAGAAATTCAGTCAAGTTAGTCATCGTAACAGATTAATTGTTAAACGGAACAAATTTCTAGAAACGTTTTTTTTTTTAAAACAAATTTTATAGCTCGTTTAAGTAAAGGATATTTTTTAATACGAAACTATGCTGTTCGTTTGTCAGTTGAATAAAATCTATTACGCAGTAATCAATATTTAGATAAACTATGATGTTCATTATAGAAAATGTTCTTCATTGAGAAAAGCGCGTCGTACTCGTCACATTATTTTTTTTACACAGATTGTTTCATACTCTGATTAGTATGTTTGTTGTGTGAGTTAAGGTATTTAGTGTCTTTGTAGGCAACGTGGTATTTTCCATGATTATTCTAATACAAGTAAATGTCATATTTTTGTCATTTGATTCATTTTTTTCTCCAACTATATTCTTATCCTTATCATTTTTTTTTGTATATCTGATTTGTCTTCTTGTTTTCTATAGCAAGCTCTTGCTTTTTGAACTAATGCAAGCACAAAACTCACAGCGATTCTATCACAATATATACTATAAATTTTATAAGATTATGCAACGATATCAATATTATTTCTTTCTGCCTTTGCTTGTGTTTTCAAATATTATTTTGTTTGCTCATTTTTAACAATGATTTTCAATCTGAATTTTAGATCTATGTTGCTTTGTATGACTTTCAATATAAAAGTGATGGAGTTCTATCATTGAATGTGGGTGATCGTATGTTAGTGTTAAGAACAGTGGATGATGGCGGTAATAAAGATTGGTGGTATGTGGAAAAATTGAATGATGAAAAACAACGTGGCTATGTACCAGCTAATTACATTCAATCGGCTAGTTCCTAGACAAATTTTCATTTTTTCATTTTCATTTCGTTTATCAAAAAATAATCAATTGTTCACGAATCGATCTCATTACAGTGGTATTCACTCTATTGTTGTATATTTTATGTATGTTTACTATTATATATGTGAGAGTTAAGAATTTTTAGTTGTTTATTATAAATTGTCTATTACCGGTCATTTGATTAAATAAGTATGTGCTATTATTTTTGTTTTTGTCGTTTTTTTTTCTTCTTTTTGCCATCATGCTTTTGTTTTGTTTTAGTTATTCCTATTATTTTTCTTTGTTCCTTTGTTGCCAGTTGAATGATATTATGTATTATATCATATATATATATATATATATACTTCTCTCTATTTATTTTTGAAATAAGATAAATATGACGTCCGTACAAAATAATAAAAAGCCAAATAATTTTTTACCGTGAGAATCAATGAAATTAAAAGACATATGGAGTTAAAACAGATTTGGCTGGAATTTTTTTGCAGATGAGTTGAAGAAAAATCTTTTTTGCAAGTTACTTATAATCGTCGGGTCATGACTAATATAAAATATCTCTGTTCAGGTCTGCTCTGTTACTGAGATCGGAGACATTGTTCGTAAAATAACCATCAGTAACTACTTTTTCTATCGACTACTTATAATCATACCTTTATAAATAAAATAACCATAAGTAGCTCGAGTACAGTATAGAGACATGTTGCCAGGTGCGAGCGTAGTTTTCATTGGTAGAAGTCGTGAAAAAATCGGAAGTCCGACACGGTTAAAAACAGAAAAAGTTCAAAAGTTGCACGCACTCTCCATCCATGGAAGACGTTTTTAAGAAATTACAGCTGCCAGGGAATTTAAGTATAAAGTTACAGCTGTCTAAGTAATCAATTTCACCAAAAAATCTTGCATTCGGAGCAATAAATAAGAGTCAGTTTTTAGGAAACAATATGTTCTATCTCGGTAACGGAGCAGACATGAGCAGAATATTTTATATTAGTCATGACCTTATGATTATAAGTAACTTTCAAAAAAGATTTTTCTTTAACTCGTCTGTAAAAAACCTCCAACCAAATCTGTTTTGACTCGATTTGAAGAATACAAATCATAAATTGTTAAGAATTCGTGTCATGTTCTATCAACTTTTATATCATTTCTCGGTGAAATAAAAGAGAAAAGTTTTCAGACAATACTAAGACAAATCCCGACTGTTTCTTGTTTAGGAAAAACAACCATTAAAGTGGTATCACATACTAACTCCAATATAATTAAAAGCATGTAAAAATTGGCAAACATTTGTAGAAACAGGAGAAAAATGACATTTTAAAATATCTAATAATTGTAGTAGTCAAGTCACATATAATACGCTCTTTTTATGTTGTTATAATTGTTTGATTAAGGTACTTACTTATTAGTTATTTTATTTTATTATCAATGATAAAGGCGGTAATATAACCGTTTCATATCATAGTTTCTTGGACAGTAAAATGCAAAAAACTCTTTTTTAAGGCTAAGTAGTTGACCGTCTTGAAATTTCGTAGTGTTCTACGTGGAACTTTTGAGTTTTATACTTTATAAAAGATCTATTATTATATTCTCGTAGAGAATTTCGCGATGTATCTGTTGAAGGAAAAAAGCTCCATGGGACTCGAGGAAGACGATAAACATGAAAAATATTGAAAGGTTCACTTATACGACACTTGTTATATGCCTCATGTGTTTCTTATTTTCAAGGTAAGTTAATGTGATTCTTTCAACACAATCTAAAATAATGCTGAAAGACTGACTAGCTAAGTTGTCATGGTTTTGGAAGATTTTAATTATGAATTTGAATAATATAACAGGACAAACAATGTTATCAGTAGTCATTTTTTAATTTTCTGCAAAATATTGAGGGTACGAGCGTGTTTCCATCATGCAATATTTATTACGTCCTAGCTTTTTTTTACTACATCATTTGTATACACCGGACCGGACCGGTTCCAACTCTGATTTGAACGTAGTGTAACTATCGCTGATACCACTATGATTAATAAAATTTCGCATGTTCTTCTCGTGTAAAAATGATGATAATAAATTCGCATGAATATTCAGGTCATTTGCTTTCTGCAACAGTCAATAATAAAACTGTTCATAAGTATTCTCAACGGTTGGTTTTCTAAAAAACGCTGTGTACCAATTTTCATTGAAACGATGATTAACTGATCTCTCTTGAAACGCCAAATAAATACATGAATCGTCGTACCGATGAGATTTATCGGATAGTGTGTCCAGATAATCATCTACCTTCTAGAACAATATGGAGAAAAGCATCCTATGACTATCTATGACTAGTGAACGATCACACGTTCTTTTTGTACAAAACTATCTTACTATTTTTCAAGATGCGCTGTAAATCGTCTACCCTTTATTGTATAATTGCTTTCTTGTTTGAAAAGTCAGATCGTATGCTACCCATATTTTATACGTCTCTGATACATAGAAACACCGGAATGTGAGATTCCATCACAATGTGAACTAGATGAACTTTGTAGCTGTACACGGATTGAAAATTACGGGGACTGTTTTTGACTTCGCAGTTTTTTTTCTATTTTTATTAGAAACATGCATAATTAAATATTTTGACTGTAGTGTCGTTGATCTAGATACATACTTTTAATACGTTCGACCGTGCTAATACACAAGGATAAATCTTGTACAGATTATTTTTTTAATTGTTAATTAAGTTTCAATCATACCATTTAGCTTAATTTCATGTTTTCAGTTTATATTTTTGTTCTTACAGCCGGTGTATTGATAATCAAAAAGGCTAGATAGTGTCACTCAAATAAATGTCACTTATCTGTTTTTTATTTCTTTCAAGTGATAACTCGAGCATTTTATTAGACTTTTCTTTGCCAAGATCATTGTCTGGTTTTCTCCTCCAACGATTGACAGAATTAATTTAGGCCAGAAAAGAAGAAAATCATATCATATAAGAATCATTGAAATAGAATGAAATTTTAAGATATTGGTCACACCATCGAAGCCAAATGTTCAACCACTCCACCGTGGTCTTCAATCCATAAAACAAGAATAATTTTTGCTGTTTGCAAACAGAAAATGTGTTTATTTGGATAATGATGCAGATGGTCAAGAATACCAATGAGAAATATTATCTATCATCTGATCTATAAGATTCTAATAAGTATAAGAAATTATGAATACCGTATTTTCTAATTTACCTAAATAATGCAGTTTAGGTTCCAAAATTAAGATGGTCAGGTGAACGATTTGATTTTTGATGAGTAATCTTTTTGTGGATATATAACGCAGTTTAGTTACTAGCAACATTATCAACCTACTCATCCACAAAAAAAGGGTTTTATTCTTCAAGTCGCATATCAATGAAATCTATTTTAGTTTTTATGAAATAAAGGATGATCCAAAATTTTAGTTAACTTCGAAAAAGTTTCTTACTTACTGTCAGTGCCATATTAATCAACGTATTTTTCTTACTGAGACAGGTACAACCGTGTAATTATATCGTACTAATGTTAGAGTTATAAATACTTGTTTGCGATATTTTGACCCTTTTTGCACTGACAGTAAGAAAGAAACTTAACTTTTTTTCTAAGGTACCTAAACGTTTGAATCGCACTTTAGTGTCATATTTTATCAATAAAGCATTTAAAGGTAACGAATATTGTGAAAGTTCGATACGTTAGTACGTTGGCCTGTATAATAATGACTTCTATTCTATAGACAGCTATATTTTTATCTAAAAAATGACAGCTTAAATTAATATTTTTAGAACGTTTCAAAAACAGTTTGATATGATATCAACTGAGATATTACTTCTATAATGTAAGCTTTACTTTATACTTTATTAAAACTTTTTTAGATTATGGGTTAACAAAAAACTTGTTGAAAATGCTGCTACATTATTGCGACGAAATTTGAGGAGCGAAAGAGACAATAAATACTTAGAAACTTACGAATGGCATGAATCAGAGAATGAAACTAATTACACATAAAATAATGGAAAACGATGAAAACCACTGAATACCGTTTGATATTTATTTAGTTTTTATTTGATATTTAATGTAATTCTCCTCGGATGAGATTTTGCTTTAATCACCGTCTGACCCTCCATCACCAGCTAGCTCACTCTCAACATCAATGCCAGTATCAACAGGTTCATCAACATTTATGCTGTCGCTACCACTTGTGTCGCTACTATCATCAGAACCATCACCTCCGCTACTTAAATCGCCACTATCATTGTCGTCTGATGAAGTGTTAGAACCATCTGCTGGTTGAGCTAATATTGTTGAACACAATAATAAACCGATCAACAGGAAAGCGACTAAATATTTCATGTTTGGTATTGTTAATACGAATGAGAACGGGACGTTGCAGTGTAGAAAAAAGTCTATGAAGTAATAACTCTTATAATAACCGTCCTATTGATATTTACCTCACGCTTATATACTTCTCAATCTCATTTATTTTTCTTTGTTATGTGTAACGATATAATAGAGAAGATACTTGATTAATATTACTTGAATCACTCGAAACTTATTTCTCTTGGCACATCTGGACCAGAAAAAAATATTAATATTGATTACAATGAGAAGAATATTCGATTTTTAAGTGATTGCGCTTTTTAAGTTGATGTCAATTGAGAACATTACGGACAAATTATATTCCAATAAACCTTAGTTAAAGATGTTTTAACAACTAAGTTTTGTTGTCTTACCGTTCTTCACATAGTAATATTTTGTTTTATGTCCAAAAAATGAAATCTCATGGGATAAAATGGAGGCAATCGACTTCGATCCGCTTACTTATAGAAGCTTATATTTGCCAAATACATTGTATGTTAAAAAACTCTAAAGAATTGTGCTGTCCGAAGTAGAAAAAAAAGGAGGAAAATATCCATGCCAACTTGGTGTGATTGATAAAAAAATACGCATAAAAATAAATATTTTCCACAAAACTTAACGTGACAGTACTCTGTGCCGATCAACATTGTGTATTCAAACAACTTTGGCTAGTATCATTTGGATTGTTTTATAAAACTTCTCTGAAGTCGATCTCCGCTTTTGTTGATGGATTTGTGGATACGTACACTCCGACAATTACTGGTAGTATCAATTTATATCCAACTCTTAGGAAAAACACTTATTAATTTCTTATTTTTCTACTCATATATTTATTTATTAATTAATCCGACGTTTCAACTTGTCACAGCAACCCATCTTCAAGGAAATATAACTTAAATTGCTTCGTTATCGGAAAAGATAAATAAAATAAAAGTAAATTAGTTTTAATTGCTGGCGAAAAAATTGCTTAAGGATCCCCGCCTCCTTCAGAAATTATCTCCGGCATCGTATATCCGATCTTGATGAAACTTTCCATAAATGTTAGGCATAATGAGTTATGGGAATGAAAATTTTTTTCGTGTCTAAGTCTTATCTTAGTTTAGTAGTTTTCCATAGATCAAGATCCAAAAAGGACCCTGAAGTATTTCCCAAGATTTGTTAATATACTTCAAGCTAGAAAGTTCCGGTTTGTTTTATTTTAAACTAGACACCTAAGTACATGGTCTAACAGGCGTCTATTTTCCAATTAAGCCTTTGTTCATTTTGTAGACAACCAACATCCTCAAAAACCAGAAAAACACTTCCGGGTTTCCTAAATTCCTAATTGAAAAATCGGCGTTGGTCACACCATGTAGTTAGGTGTCTGGCTTAAAATAAAACAAATCCGAACTCTCTAGCTCGAAGCATATTAAAAAATCTTGAAAAATACTTCAGGTGTAACTCGCATGTAGAGAAAACGCTGTATAATTCTGGAACGCACATGTTTCAGCTCAGTTTTTAACACTGATTCCGAAGCTTCTGCTGATTTCTTATATGAAAGACATTCCGGGTCTGGCTATATTTACAGCACTGTACTTCATTCACTGCTCTGCCATAGGTCAGGACCATTGTATTTGTTTGGTATTTTGCCAATAAGTCTATTAAACTTAAAGTTTGAAGCAGCGTACTATAGCTTATTTTCTAGCTCTTTCAATTCTGCATTTTTCTAAATACAAACTATTCCTAATTTCTTTTTGTGAAAGAAACTATATCTATCTTCCTATATATGGGGTTTGGTCAAGGTCTTTCAAATCGTACGAAAAATTTGAGGAACAAAGCGGATAGCCTTCGTTGAACTGGTGACGAAAAATGCTAAGAAATAATTTTTTCAAGGAGATCAGAAGCAATTTTTGAAAGTCAGAAGTGTTGGAAGTGACAAGGGAAGCATTTCTACTCTTTTTCATTCAAAATCATATTGAGTCATTTTCTAGCAGAAACCGTTTCCTGTCCTTTCCTATGTAACTACAAGCACATGTTCCAGAAGTATCGTAAATAGTGTCAGTTGATGATGGGGCGTGACATTTATCAGTGATTTTTGAGTAATTATTCTTGTTTTGTTTAAATTCTTATTTGTTTGTTTATTGTTGTAAACAAAACTTAAATAAGGTTATATTTTATTGGTAATTCGATGATTAACTACGGTCTCTGACCTTGTGAAAAACACTTCTGTATTAAAAGCACTAGAGTATTGTAACATCAATGACTCATTTGGAAATTTCTGACTTGCGGTTAGAGTTTCTCAGCTCATTTCACGCATACAATAAATATACGTTGAACGAAACGTACACGAAACGTACATTGTCAAATATACGTTGTTTACGCTGAACATGAATATAGTCTTAGATCTTGACTGTGAGTAACATCCAGAAGGAAAAAGAATGAAAATTCAACAAGAAAAAACTTGAAATCAGGATGCAGATTTCAAATGCGAGGCCATTTTGGGTATCACGCATCCGTTCTGGAAAGCTTTCAAATACTGTAGTTTGTAGTCCTATCTCGTGCGGAATGTCTGACAAAGTTTGGTGTATGGTCACTTCTTCTATGATTGACAACCCTTCTGAGTCTATTTCTTCAAAGTGTATAAACAAGATTAAATGATAGTTAAATGATAATGATAATTATATTAAATGAAAAGACAAAAAAATTTGTCTATGATACTAATTTTAACTAAATTGAGTAAATAAAATAATGTGTGTTAAATGTGAAACAAGATGAATAATAACAAAAGATACAACGAAAGAAGATTTGAGGCGCCACACCACACTCAACCGCATTAATTTTGAGCGAAAGCCGTGAATTTTTCTTTCGAGAACAATCAAGTCTTTCTAATATAAGTAGTTAGTCAAATGTACGTGAACGTGACTACGCATGATATTGAAATTTTACACAGCAGTTAGTTGAGCACAAACACGGAGAAAGTCTTTACCTTTAGTGCATTTTCAAGGACAGAAGGCACATTTTCCCTACAGAAATGATTGCAGGAAAAAATGTTTCATCAAATTTCTTTGATGAAATTTCTCTACTCTCTCGCTCACTGGAACTGAGTACTTAATCTATAGATTACTTAAATTTTTTTTGTGCGACTCCACTGAGAAAAAGTCAAAAAAAGGCATATATAGAACATAGTCAACTATAGAAACGGTCTGCACACCACGTTAAGAACCAAAAAAGTGACTTGTATATAATACACGTATATACAGAGTTAACCCTTTGAGGACGGGATTATTTTTTCAAAAAATAATCGCGAAATAGTAGCGACGCCCCTGTAACTCAAGAGCCATGATAGCTAAGTACTTCTAATTTTGTGTGATCATAGCTCTTACCAAATGCTGATCACCCACCAAGTTTGCACCTCTTTTACTGGATGGTTCATGAGATATNCCGTATATATATACGGGCAGTACATAAAATCTTCGTTACTTCACTTATTTTGCACCTCTTTTACTGGATGGTTCATGTGATATAAGCAATTTCTTTCTTTTCCGTAAAATGTCAATAGCTCCTGATCTAAGAGAGATGAAAGCTGTTTCTTTTTACAAAAATGCAGCCACACTCTACTCTATCTACGATATGAATTTTGTGAGTTGGTTATTAGGAGTCAGTGAAATATAGCTATTTTACGGAAGAAGTTAGCTTTTTTTGTTGAAAATTCGAGGTTCTTTGCGAAAAGAAATTCACAACTCAATCTAAGAGCATCATTTTGGCTTCAAACTCGTATCAAAGACTCTACAGTGTCTGTAGATTATCTAGCCAAAGTATGAAGGTTAACTATTGTGTGATTCTAGAAATTCATTAAGGACGAGTACTCACGATTGAAACATACGTAGAAGGGCGGCGGTGATGAACTAAGGGGCAACTCTGTATATACGT